TCTCTCTCGCTCTCTCTCCCTCTCCCTCTCGCTCCCACTTTGTCCCAGAGTCCTCTGCAGCTGGTGGCCGCGGCGCCAGCAGCTGCACCGCTGCGGGATCCGGGATCCATCCTATAGAGCTTCATGCCGCTTGTGGTTTGGGAGATAGGAGCAGCAGAACTGCCACTCGAACGGGATCCCACAAGAACATGGTCTGCACGTAACAGTCGATAGTGAAGCAAGCTACCACTAAATGTTTAACCATGAATCAAAAGTACTGAAGTTCAAGAGACTTTACTGTCTGTAAACCTTGGCCGTAGCCTTGGGCCCTAAACTCTCAAACCTGTCATTACCACCTCCTTGCCTCCCAGCTTCTGGCCGGATCTCCGACGGGCACACCGCCGATTTGAACCCGGCCCTCGCGGATAGCGCCACGGGCCTTGCAAGTCCACTTGCTTCTGGCACGAAAGCTTCTGGAAAGCACTGCTTCGCTCAGCCCCGAAGTCTTCAATTACAACTCTGTCCAAGCTGTCCTTGAGATTTGGTCCTGAAGGGGTTCGGCCTTAAACTCAAGATTGCCATGAAACCCCAAGCCCGAAGCCCCGCAAACCGTGAGGCCGTAATTAAACCCTGAAGCCTGCTGTAGTCCTAACGTCGGCTCATTCTCAGATTTGTCGCTGTGCTGTCCTGAGCTGAGCTGGCACAGCCACCGCAGCAGCCTGGCTGCCTTCGCCCGTACCACACAAGTCCCAAATGAAGCCTGCCCTGAAACCCCAAATATCCACCCGACAAACCTCGTTGAGCGACAGGCCCTCTCTCCTTGGCGGCAGTTTGCATCCGAGGTCAGACTGATTCAAAAATTGGCATGGTGATGAAGAGTTCAAACCCCCCGGCCTCGGCTGCGCATCGCCATGAGTGTTCAAGCCCAAAGGAAATTCTGAAATGCAATAGCCCACTAATTGCCCAGGGAAGCCACAAAAGTACCGGAATAACAAACATGAGCCTTGCAAGACCATCCAAACACCTCCTTTCAGAACGCACAAAGACCAATGTCTGCCGTAATGCTTGAATCCCGAACCTTATTAGCAAATAAGCTTCAATTCCGAACGGACTGTACTAGCCCTGCAATCCTCACAACCGCCCTAAAACGTGCCCAAGCAAAAGCCTCAAATGTCCTTCAAGTGCCCAACGCCCCGAACATGGGCCAACATGGGCCCCAGATGTCAAACAAAAACACAGCCCTAAACACTTGATCCGAAGACACGCCGTAAAATCCCACCAAACCAAACACCTCTGCCCTAAGCCAGGAATCAGATGAAGGTGCTCCAGGAGCCGCAAGCTCCGGCCTTTCGCCCTCGTCGGCTCCGAGCCTTCTTTGGTTGCCCAAAAATCGAGCGCTGCCCGCTCGGTTTGGGGGTAGGGTGGGGAACACCCCGGATCCGGCCTGCAATCATCCTTCAAAACCACTGCGTCATCTCGACATCAGGAAAGACTGACTGAAAATAATCATAAGACTTCACAAGCAGAAAACCAGAGAGTATGACGCCTTACATACCGCCATCGGAAAGCCACAGAGAAAAGCCAAGAAGACCCTGAAAAACAAGCGCTGGCAAGACCCGGTAGGCTCCTGAAAACTGCTTGCAGGGCCTCGTGGCAGAGGATCTTCCTCTCGCTGCCCCGACTGCCGCCGGAGCTGTACGGCTCGCACCTGCCTGGCCTGAGATCCGCTCAAAAAACGAATGAGAATGGTGATGCTGATGATGGCGGTGATGACGGCACTGATGAGCCAGAATGAACCGAACGAAAAGAAGCGGACAACCTGACTGAGAAAAGCAAGCCATGCGAAAGAAACTACAACATACCACCAGATAGAAATGCACTGCGTGCACAAACTAGGGCTAGTGACTAGGGAACCTCAGAACGAGCCTCAAGATTGTAAAGCTTGTTTGAGCGTTTGCATAGGCCCGGGTAAGGAAGCGTCAACCGACTCAAGGAGTTCTCTGAATGTTGAGAGCGAGAAGCAGAGGGCAAATGGTGCGAGAAAGATTCGACACTCAGAGCGAGGGGCAACCCATCTGAAAGGGGCTGTACCAATCAGGCACAGACAACCTTGTGAAAAGATGCAGTTGCGGAGAACGAATCACAGCTTTTGAAATTGCGTGTGACTATCAAAGATGCGAGACCCCATGCCCGAATGCAAGGGGCATCCACGGAGACGACGTCCCCGGGCTGCAAGGGACGATGGAGGAAGCGCTCCGTTTTGCCGTTCACCTTGGAGAGGACGGCGAACGGAAAAGGCTCTTTGGAGTTTCGGGTTCAGGGTTTAGGCCTTGGAGATTGGGGGCAATCCGTCTGCCTATCCAAAAGGATCACAACACCGAGTGCATGGTTTCAAGGGGCATGCTAGTAGTGAGGGAGCTGGATAAAAAAAGAACAATTCGCGGCCAAAACCCCAATGCGGCCTAGAGCAGGGACGCCCATCTCATTACAAAGCAACACGTAAGCCTTCACACCAAATCCCCAGCCTCAGCTTCCATGCAATGCTTAACGCCAGAAACACAACGTCCAAATCTAGAAGCTGCAAGTTTCTGAGCTCAGAGTCCAGATGCCGACACTAGACCATCACCGATGCGGAATCGGGCCACCTTGCAACAAAAGCACGAGAAAGAGGAAAGGAGGTCCCATTTGGAACAAGACGATAAACCAACACCGGGGGCCAGGGACTGTATCCCGTAGCAGCAAGGCACCGAGATGTATCAGTACATTTTTTCCACCTCAACCCGGTTCGATCCGGATTGAATTTGCGAGGATCGCTGCCGCTTTCTCGAGGCCAAGGGTTGCGATTGAAATTGAAACAGCTCTGCGGCCGTCTGTCGTCTTCAACGTGGGATCTGAAAAGCCTCGAGGCTTCGGAAGATAGGGCTGCCGTGTTTACAGTATCCCATGACTTAGGGTTCTATACTGGGGTACCCGGGTACCCTATCGTCTGCAACTCCCAGCTGACTGCCTCCCAGATCTCCTCGTCAACTGGGCAACTGAACTCCTTCAAACCCAAGTTGCGTTGGAAGCGCTGAATGGAGGCCCCAATTCCAGTTCTGCAAGGTGCTCGAACCTTAGAGACTTAGTTACACTTGTGTACGACTGCCACTGGATTTTGCTGGAAGTGCATTTCCGAAACCAACATTCCCCATAACCCCACGACCTAAAGCCCCCCGGAACCACCCCTCGAACTCCACAACCCTCTAAACCCGAAATCCGCCCCAGCTCGTGCACCTTCTTTGAGAACCACGCTGGCAGCAGCGGCCGAAAGCGGGCGTGGACGAAGGGGAGGAGGGTTGCCTGTTGCAGTTTCCTTAAACACCCCTACACTGTGAACCGGGTCCTGAGTCCTGATAATGAGCAAGGATCCTGCACGGTGGAACGCCATGATTTCCCTATGCTGACCAAGTGCCCTGGAGCCTCGGGCTAGAAAAAATCTCTTTACAAACTCTAGGCTGCGTGTCTCTGAGTCTCTGAGTGGCTTTGGGTCTCGGTGCGTGATGGGAGCTTCCCAAAACAGGGTCTGAATTATTCAAGCTTCCCAGCTCAAGCCCCCGGGGCAGGAAGAGACTCACAGCGATCTTCGAATTGAGACTTGTGGCACGGCAAGATCTGTGAAGGCTCAGGGGGCTTGTTGGGTTCAGGGCTGCTGCTTCGGGCTTCAGGCGTGATCCCAGAATGACACGGGGGAGCAACTGAATGATCAATCAGAGTTCCCACCACCACGCCTCTGCATCCTCGTGGGATACGACAGCCTCACCGTAAACTTAGAAATCTTCAGTATAGTAAAGAACCGCAAGACCCCAGGCCCTAAACCCGAACCGGAAGGTTCCACTGTACAGTCTTGTGCATTTCGAAGCCCAATTTTCGAGTATCAGGCTACAGGTTGCACCTTGTCGGGTTCAGCATCAGCAGACTTTGGAGGTTTCGGGGCGTTTAGGGTTTGGGTTCCGGCGTTTTGGTGAGGCTTTGCTTTTGGGATGCATCGGGCCCGACATCCTGCGGTCGCAAACCACCGGCCCTGGCCTCGAGCAAAGCCGCTGCCATGCCGCCATGGAGAGGCGCGGCCGGCGCAGGCGTGGATCAAGCTACGGGGCTGAAGCACTTCACCCACTCCCGAAGGCTTGCTTGTAGCGTGCAGCCTTCTCTTCAAGCTTTTTCCGTTCATTACTCACAGCTTAGAGGTTGTAGGGTTCGGGAAGGTTCGGTGAGGCCGGCACTTGGGAATGCGACCGTGCTGCATGCTCTGGGGGCGACACTGGTGGAATCCAGGCTCTGATTGACAGGCTCGGGGGTCATCTCCATACTCCAACGAATCCATCTTTGGGTTTAGGGTTTGGGGTTAGCTCACAGATGGCGATCGGCTTCCGGGATGAAAGAACAGGTACAAATGCTCCCGGCACAACCCAACCCAAAACTGGAACCCGAACCCGGACACAAAGTCTTGTGCCAAAATCGCTGGCAGGCCTGGAAATCATTCTGCAGGCCATGTCCCACCACGATCTTGCCATCCAACCTTTTCTGGTGTTCTTACAGATGTTCTGATTCCTATTCTGGCCATGACTAAGCATCGATGACATCATAATGCCGGCCTTTGCAGTTTCAGGTAGCATTCGGCAACAGGCAGAGGAGCAGCAGGTAGCATCCCGACTCCCCACGTGAGAGCGCTCTCTGGGTCCACCACACTTTGGCAGCTTCCGCTCGGGCCTCTTCCTCTGAAATGACCTCTCACTTCGTTCGGGCGGTAGTGCGTAGCGAAGGATTCCAACGAGGCTGGAGTCTCTCTTCTGCACATGTTTCGACAAGCTTGAAGCTCCATGCCGAAGGCGTCAACTCTCCCATGGCTTCCCATGGCCACCGCGATTCTAGAGCCCTCTTGCAACCCTTTGATTCACTCCAAAAGCCTGAGCTTGGCTCAGGGCTCCAGGTCGCTTGAAGGTGCCAGGGGTGATGCCCGTGATGTGGGTGCGAAAGTCTGTCACCTCAACAGTTTTCCTGAAGGGCCCTAAACCTGAAGTCCTACTAGGCGTCCCCTTGCGAAAGGGGCAAAGAGCTGGCTTTCTGTGGCTTTGGGGAGTTGGGGCTTTATGTGGGATCAGGTTGGGGTAATTTATTCGGCTTTAGTATTCAGGGCAGGTGGCTTTGGGCAGGTGGCGACTGCGCGGAGATCTGGGTGCCTCAGAACTAATCCAAGCTTCAGGAGCGCTGGCAGCGCAGAGTTGCAATGGGGAAGTCAGCACCCTGCAATGATTGACGATGCATATAGAGGTGCTTTCTCTTGCAAGCGCGGAGTGGGGGAATCATATCCGTGAGAAACTTGAAGCAGGCTTTCAGGAGTGGATGTTTTTGGGTTTGAGCGCTTCGAGTTGAAAGCTGAGGGAAGCCAGGGGGATCCTTGCCGGGGCCCAGTCAAGCCTGGCCTGGCCCCAAGACAGGACAAAAGAAAGGCAAACGTATCACTTCTGTGCTCCGAAGCCGCCGAGAAAGCCAGCTGCTGCCGCGCGCTCGCGCTGTGCGCCTCGCTGCCCTCGACCCCTTCTTTCCGAAAGAGCTGGGCGGCTGGCAAACTCTTGCGGCCGGACAAACCTCGTCTTCGGTGCATAGGCTTTCAGGGTTTGCGGGAAATTTTATCCGGTCGTTGAGCGCGCGGGAGTTGGACAGAGGAAGCAACTCCGCCACCTTGGACTCCCTGGCAGCCACCATGGACTCGTCACCCACCCGCATGAGAGGACAAAAGCTTGCCACAAGGACCCTCGGATGAAAAAACCTAACTGTTCAAGAAGCCATGACAAGGCTCAGCCAAGGCCCCCGCACTCTGAAGCCTCCCAATGCAACAACACACGCGCGCCCACCCACCACCCGCAGTCTGCACACCCACAACGCAACTACGCTGCGAATGAAGAGCACGAGAAAATCTGAAGCAAACGAAACACCCGAGATTCAACAAGCCAAGACCTTTCCTGGGAGCCCGGCTTGTCCATGAGCACCTTTCCCTCGGAGTCGACCTCAAGGGGCCAAGGGCCGACCAAGCCCTTCGCCAAATGCGAACAACGCCAAAGCAAAGGCTCCAAAGGAACGCAATCAACGTAGAGCCATCAACGGATAGTAGTGGCAGTGGGCTCAATGAGAACAAGAACACCGGGACAGGCAAAGATGCTGTTGCTGATGTGGTTCCTTCTCGGATGTAGCAGTTTTGAACCAACAAACGTTGGCTTTCGGGACGGACAAGGAGTTGACGCCAAATGCCACGACGCCCCAATCATAATTCTGACGTGAAGTTCAACTTAGACCGCCTCCCCCACATGAATGCCGGCGAAGCTGCGATGGAAACGCGAGCAAGGACGGACTCCTTGCCAGCCGGGCCTCTTGCAGGGAGGGCCCTTTCTGTGCTGCGGCCTAAATTGGATTTGTGTTTCTTAGTCCGTCGTGTGGTAGCATGACAAACGATGATAGTGCTTTTCGAGCACTTCGGGCAACCCTCAAAGCACTCCATCAGCATTTAGCGGGATGTCAGACAGGAACAGCTTGACCCGGCACCTCGGAAGAGCCCTGTGCGGGCACTCTGGAGGATATCTACTCGTCTGCACTGTCATCGCTTTGCCTGACACAACATCTGCTGCACGCCTACAGTCTTTGAACCCCGAACCCTACATCCAAAACCCTTTCTCCTCCTAAGACCTCACACAATCAATGGCCAATCTTGAAGCCCTCCGAGCCATAAACCCTTCAGCCATACGACCGAACCTGAACCTGAAAAACTGGCAAACGCAATAAAAATCACACACACAACATCCCTTGATACTCATCCCCCCCTTGCAAAAAACAAACATGGTACAACTTACCCCACGAAGCAGTCCTGCATGGGCTCATCTGGGAGCACTGGGAGTCCGGCCCACGCCGACCATCTCGCAGTCGAGAGCCACCACCTGGTTCCCGTAGGTACCCGCAGCGCTCTTTCGGGACAAAAGAAAGTGAAAAGGTACCCTCTACAGGCTGCAGGGCCAAGGGTCTTCAGAGCTCCAGCTTTTGCGTTGGAAATAAGAGGTCCTATAACTTGAACGAGTATCTCCGGTAAGGTTTGATGGTTGGTCTTATGTTTCCCGTTACGCCACCTTGAAGGAAAGCACTAAGCACCACTGCGCCTCGCTACTAAAATGAAAAGGACTTGAGGGCTCAGCGCCGTGGGGTTGCAGTTTAGGCTTGGGCTCCCCAAGCTTCGGAAGAGAGAGCTTGAGGTGTGCGTCTCCGTGTTCGGTTTTCAAGTTACAAGGACTTTGGTGTTGTGGCTTGTGGAGTTCAAAAGCGTAACGGCAACAGGATTCGGGCTGAAGATCTTTCATGTTTTGGGGCGTGCCAATTTTAACCCTGGGTCGTTCAGGACTCTGGGGTCAGACGCTGCTCACGTTGCTTTCACCTCCACGGAACGGGTTGATGTAGCAGTCATACATGTGTCCATCGACTTCCTCGCGACCCAACCACTGAAAGCCTCGTGGCGTCGTCCGAGGCCGATGCGTTTGCTGCGCATCCGGGTGGCCTGGCTTAGCTGCAGAGCAACAGCATTGAGGGTGCGAAGCTTGCAGTAACTGGCGTCAGTGAGTACCGATGCGACGACATTGGCTGTACTTCACTGCTGTTCGTCCGCAGTCTGCGAAGCTCAAAGACCAGACCAACGAATTCTATAGGTGGCACTGATGGCGTTCCGAATGCATTCAGCGAGGTGCCGAACTCCACAAGACGAAACCTCACACCGAGCTACAAAACAACACTGCCCGCCTAGGAGCTGCCGCTTCACGTGCCTGGGACAGAGCTTCACTTCAAGTGACCCTGAACTTCAAAGGCTCAAGGTCATGATGGGTCCAACGTTGCCTAAGTGTCCCTGGTTGTTAGGAAGACCATCTGAAATCTGCCCATTCTTGTTCTTCTACCTCCGGGCTTCGCATTGGCAGGAGCCAGGGCTTAAACATGGAATTGACAGTCCCTCGCTTGACACATGCTCAGACCATGCACAACCACAAGCCTTGGGAGCCAGTTCGGGCCGCTTCTGCACGAGCTGCTTCCAATTGTGGCTGACGAAGAACCTAAGGGTTGAGGGGTAGAGCGGGTAGAGGGTTCAGGGCTTGCTGTTTACGGTTCACGACCTGGGCTCCCAGCTCAGAGCACTCGCCAGAGTAGACCGCAACAAGCGGTTTAGATGACGATAGTTGCGCTTGTGATAATGATGCGTCATCTGGCCTCTCAAGCCCCCCTTCGCCAACACATGACATGCCCTGGCTCAAGCATTGGATCCCGCAAATATCTCACACTCAGACAACATAACATTTCTCAACCCGCATGCATACCTTGAAGCTTTCATGATCTCTCTTACCTGTGCAATAACATCACTTTCCACAAACCAACTACCTAATTCGTCCCAAATGTCGGCGTCTTCAACATCCGAGCTTAAAGTGAGCGTAGCATCGGCATTGACCCACGCCTCCCGGGACAATGAGTGACAACCCCTCCGAGTTGCCAGAGGCTTCTGCTGAATGACTTCCCAACCTAGTTTTCGAACATCAAACAGTCGTACCTTACGTAACTGTAACATGCATGTTCGAACGATAAGGTCCTTGCTAAACGACTCCTGCGGCCCGTCATGTTTGGAAACACGTAGACACCAAACCTTAAGCTGACCAAACACCTGAAACCGAAAATCACGCAACCCTCCCCCTTCTGGCAGGCGTGCTTATGTGCCGGCTCCAACGGCTTGGCCTTGGCCTGCATCGCAAAGCTGCGATTGATGACTTGGGTTGAACTTATCACTTTTCTGGTTGCGGTTTCCATCACTGCTACCCACAAAGATCACTCTTAAGGTTGGGGCTTGGGTACCACGGGTAAACCTTCTTTTCAGCGTTTACCCGACGGCCGTCAGCCCCAAACTATCCGGGGCAAACCCTTCCTTTGCCCGGGCATTCCCGGGACCTGCACGGCTTTGGAGCTGCCACTGCCTTGCTGCCTCTGGGGACTCAGAGCTTGGCTTTGGCAAGGCTAAAGCTTGGGCATCTAGCCTAGGGCCTAGAAATTAAAGTACAATTAGAGAATATGGTGGTCTAGGCGTGAGGTGAGGTGGCTCGGGTTGGGGATTTTGCGGGTTATGGGCTGTAGGGTCCAAGCATTCGGGAAGCTGGGGCTCCGGATCAGATGCCCCAGGTCATTCAGAAGACAACAGCGCCTTACTTCAGGAAGACTCCTAGGACAACGGTTAGTTCACTGCTTTGATGGTTTTGGGCCTCTGTGGGATCTGGGAGTCTTCAGCTTGAGGGCCGTGGCTCGAGCTCGCTTTGGTTAGATTCGGGATTCCAGGTGATGCGCCGTACGGCTTTGTCGATGGTGCTGCCTAGGGGGTCTCTGGAGCTTGTGTGTACTTGAGCCCAAGGAGGGACGGAAGTGGGGCAAACAGACTTGCTGCGTCATTGGCTCAGCTTCCAGCTTCTGCCGAGCTTTCGCGTCCTTCACAGTGGGTCCAAAGCCAAGATTATGCAAAACCCATGCTTTTGGGTGGAAATTCTGAGCTTTCGAAGGAACAGCCAAGCTTGGGACGTCTGCCTGCAGATCCCCTACATGATACGACTTTCAACCGAAATCACACCGACTGGTAACTTATGACCAGCCTTTCTGCAGTTTCCCTGGTCTCATTTTCAGGCTCCAGATGCAGATGCTGACCACAGGCTTTCTGCTTTGCAAGGCGGGAGTGGAACACACCTAAACTAAAGCCCCACACCCTGCTCCCCAGCCCCAAACACCTCAACCCCACTGAATCGAAATCCAAAACTGTCTGACATCAACTCAGTGACAGGGAGAGGCTCCTTCTTCAGGACTTTGAGCACGTCTTTGGACCCCATGGCCAAGGCGGGGGCTAGCTTTAGGGGCGAAGATTTAGGCTCCGGCATTTAGGGTTTGAAGTATGACGTTGCGCAAACAGGCTTCATGCGTGTTTGGGGCTGGGGATTCGCAGGCTGAGGGTCCAAGGGCTTAGAGTCTAGAGTCTAAGCCCTTTTGGCTTGGGGCTCATGGTCCAGACCCTGAGGTAGGCTGGGTTGACAATGGGAAGCCGACGTCTTCCATCCAGGCTGCGAGGTACCCACAGTGGTGCATGTGTCGCTGTAGCCACGTACGGTTGGTCTGCGTGTCACAAGCCTGGCTGCTCTAATGATACTCCCGACCCCGAGATGGAGCCAGCACTAATGGCCTTGCGCCAAACCTCGACCGAAATCGGAGTTCGCCGGCCCTCCGGATAACCCGACTCCGAAAATAGGACATAGATAGAACATACACAGGCTATTTAGAACATGTGGACAGCATGCTGCAAGGCAGGCGAGGCAGGCGGCACCGGCGGCACAGTGGCGGGGCAAGCCTGGCTATGTCTGCAACATTGGACCCGCAACAAGCCGGCTCTTTAGAGTCTGAGTGCTCAGGAGGGCTTTCGTGTAGGACTGCGAAGAGAGGGCTCTAGATATGGAGGGCAATGCTTTTTCCGTAGCTTGTCGGCCTCCGGCTTAACGAAGAATGGTAGTTCAGGAAGCATGGTAGTTTTGATTTGCTTTTCATAGTCAAACTTGGAAGGCGAACACGAGCATGCAGATGCGCCCTGCCGAAAGAGCTCCGTCACTTCCGTCACAGTCCCCAACACCCAACCAACCGCATAAGGTCTCAACATGTCTTCACCCGCTCAGTCCTTAGCCTGCGTGCCTTCCAAACCCTCCGGAGACTCGAAAGCTTTCATCCGGGCCTCCAGGTCGAGACAGGCCCGGGAACCTCTGCAGATGCAAGGATGCTTCGGCTCACTGGGCATTTGGGCAGAACTTGCAGACTTAAGCTGAGAGTGACGGCCACAGCGCTACCACCTCGGTCATGAGCCTCCCAAAACCCCCGTGCAAGTTTGCAGCCGAGCCTTGCGCGGAGCCCCAGAGTCCGCCGATGGCCATAGCGCCACATGGTGGGAAAGGACCCAACTCCAACCCAGATGCCCAACCCACCCATGATCCCCAAGGTGCGTGTTCTTCAGGGCAAAGATGGCTTGGCCGAATGCCGACACAGACTTTCAGAACCCCTTTCCTAATGTGTGCGGATTGCCAAGCATCTCTGCAGACTCTGGGGTGAAAAGCGCCTTGGCTTGGCTTACCAGTGTTATTAGGCTTGCGGACTTAATGCACCAGTTGAAAATCCTGAAACTTAGGACCGCTCTTTTCACGGAACATGAAGGCATGAAGAGGTTGCTACACTGGGCTCACATAGCTCGGAATGGCGAGGGCATGCTGCAAGAGTGCATGAACCTTATGCCAAAGCCTAGGTTCAACAAGGGACGAAGGCACAACTCCACGGCCCTGGGCCGTGCATGCCAGCCAGACGCCTCTTCCTCATTCCCGTTCTCTCGCTTACTCCTTTTCGCATTCGCGGGCCAGCACAATGGCACGTCCCGGCCAGACGCTTCGCTAGCTTGTTCCGCCCCAGTCCTTTCATCTGAACAAAGTCTCAAAAGGATGTCGGCTTGAGTCTTGAGTGTAAGCTTGGCTAACCTCCTGAGCATCAACTTACGAAGCTAGCATGCGCTCCGCAACGGCCCGAAGCGCGCGCCAGGTGCAAGGCGAACTGTTTTGGTGCTCACGCATGTCTTGGTTCATAATGTAGAGTCTGGACATCGTCAGAAGTAGCAGTGTGGGAAACTAATGGTTCTGGCATGTTGTGGCTGTCAACACAACTTTCTCTAGACGGCTCGACTAGTCGGTGCTCCAAGACTTGGCAACCGATTCCAGACCCTCTGCTCCTAGATCAAAACTCGGGCTGCCCGCATCAACACACCTGCAGTTGCCAGATGGACGAAATTCATTCAACTGTGAACTCTGCGAGAATTCCGTGCAACTCATATAAACCGCTGCTTCGATCCACTCCGGTGCAGCCCGGACATCCTAAACCGTGCATTCATGCACAAGGTTTCATACTGAGTGAGAAGGTACGAGGGGCCGGGCCGGCAGCTTGGGATCCAAAGGTCCCGAAGCTCCAGCCCAGGATTCTTGCAGAACGCAAAACGATGCAAACCGATCAATCATCACAGTCCGTGCACAAAAGCATTCCCAGCGGTGCAAAAGGGAGCTCTCCGCCCAGGTGCCGGGCTCCAAGGAGACGTCGTAGCATGCGCACCGGGCTCGATGCAAAAGGTGAAGGCTCCAAAGTCAGAGGTGGATCCTCTGCCGAGACTCGAGCCCGATTGACGGGCGCTACAAAGCCATCCCTCTCCACCACCTGGCGGTTGTAGAAATCAGTCCACGCTTCACTCTTGGAGACGGGCCAGCTGATTCCCAGGAAGCTGCGCTGCTTCTCGATCTCTGAATCTCGCGATGTCTCTGCATTGCCGTACAGGCTGCCAGCGAAAACCTTGAATGGCCATTTCTAGGTGCACTAGTGTTCCACAATCTACAAGGCAACTTCACACAGCTCTGAGACACGAAGAAGCCCGGACAAGGAGATTTTGCAACAAGGATTGAGTCAAACACAGCACATTTTCCGGAGATGGGAAAATTTGAAAAGCAGCAAGAAACAGGTCATCTCTAGCGAGGGGCATGGACGGCGGTCGGAAGTGCCACGTCGCTCACTGGCGCCTGATGGGGACGAAGGCGCCGGCCCACCAACACGAGCTTCGCATCACGGCCTGCGAATTCCCCACAGCACCCAGAACTGAGTGAACATGTGTCCGAAGACTTGGAGACTGCATGCACAACCTACTCAGACATGTCCATGAACGTCGAAGTACTGTGCAGGATGTCCAGGTCTAGCCAAGCTCGACTCTGCATTGCCACTGCGCTTTGCACTGTTGCGCGGGACCTGCCTGTGCTGAAGCAGCTTGCAACAGCTTCGGCTTCGTAGTTGGAGATCAGGACCTGCTGCTTGTGTCCTTCGGAGTGTGGCGGTTGATCTGTTGTTACTCAGAACAGAAACACGTGATCACAGGTGATCCAACTTGTGGCTGGCAAAGTTGCTTTCACGACCTGCAATCATGATGGCCGACAAGCTCTCACGATGCGCTGTTGCTGCACACAGTCCTTGCAGCAGCCAGAGGGCTGGTCGAAGGTAGCTGTCGAGAACACCATTGTTTTTAACGGTTGCAATGAAGTCAGGGGTCACCTTGACATTTACCACAGCCCAATCCTTGTGAGGGAAGGATGTCCTCTGGAGCAGCTGTGCAATGGAACAAAATGGCTGAGTCGTGCGGCCTGTGGTAGCAAGATCCCACACGCCGGGTGACACATGGGGTTTGCAGGGCTCTGCAGGGCCCGGACGATCCAACTGTCGTTCCTCCTCCAACTCGGCTTCGAGCTCGCGCTCCTGCTCTTCATCCAACATCCGTGAAGGCATCGTCACATCGCTGGCAAGAGCTTGAACCCGAGCTTGGATCTCGGTCCCTAGCCGTCTCAAGCGAGTGCCGTCGCCAAACTTGTTGAATGGATTCACGGCATTTGCAACACGCCGCAACACCTCTTTAACGATCTGGGGGAGAGTCGCCTGTGCACGAGCATGGCCATACATGGCTTCCAGCAGCAGGACTTCGTCCTCTGCACAGGCGCCAGCCACCTGAACTTCCAAGCATCATGTCGAATGTGTGAATCCCAAAGACAAAGATGCGAACCTGAATTTCCCTGGACGGTAAACCCGCATCCTCCCGCCTTGGGAAGCTCCTCCAAGCCAAGGTTGGCATGTGCTGCGTACGCGGCCTCCTTGCGGATGCGTGCAGCTCCCTGGCTGGCCCAGTACGGCAGCTTTTCTGCGATGGCCTTCGCCTGAATGCCCGAATGGCGGTGCTTGTGGGCTGCCGGAGGCTCTTATTGACCCTTTCAACGCCAAGAGCTACTGTGCAAGACAAAGTTGCAGTGTTCGTGAGACACCAGGAGAGGACGGAGGCGACGATGGGAGCGTCCTGAAGCTCTGGCTTGCGTAGGTATGTCTGGATTTGGAGGTCCACCTCGAAGGATGCCAGGAAAGCGACGGCATGCCCATTGCCCAACAAACGCATTCTCATGCAAGCTTGCACGAGCTTGTCCTTCTGCATGCCACGTCCTAGTGTGACGATGGCTCTGCTGGATTTTGGCATGCGGAAATCACATCCACGGCAATGCACATCATCCAAGTATAGCAGGCACTTGTCGAGGGATCGCTCGTAGGGCGAGACTGACAAGGACATCACCTTCCCAAATTCATTCACGACGGAAGCAGTGTTGTTGGCATTGAAGAAAATAGCTGCCTCCTTGTCGCGGAGTCCGCGACGGCGACGTGTTTTGAGCCATTCTTCTGCCAGCTCTTGGTTCGACTTGTCTATGACCAGCGCTCCAGCATCTAGCAAGACATTAACATCGCGGTCCCGCATCAATTCTTCCAAGATCTCGCGTCCTGCAGCATCGTGTGGAAGCTTCCGGTAGCTTTGGTTCTCCTGCAGGTCTCTGCATCAAACCGGAACTTGAAAAGCCCTAATTGCCGAGCAGAAGGAGTGCGAACTTACTTCTTTCAATAATCGAGCGACTGCGATGGTACAACCCAAGATGTCGCTCTAACACAAGAGGACATCGTTCCTCCGTGCACAACGCCTAGGCTCCAGTCCTTCCGCATCAGATTCCGCAGGACAAGCCCGTTCGTGTGAGCCAGCTCTTGGAGATTGCATTGCTGGATGGTTGTCGGAAGCAGCAGTCTGGCATCGTCCGTCCCAGAAAAGCCAGTGGTGATACGGCCCACAGGACACAAATCCCACGGTGTTGCAACCAGCTTCTGTGGAAACTGCTTGGCCTCTTTGGGGAAAACAATCTCCCCCAACCAGAAGTCGACCACGGCGCGGTGGTGTCTAAGAGCCGGGACGATTTTCTTATGCAAGGTCTCCGTGTCATCCAGGTTTACACCAGACCTCGGTGTGCTGTGATGTTTCGACAACAGACTTGAAACCAAACCTTCAGAGAGAGAGAGAGAGAGAGA